GAAACCCACTGATCAATCAGATGAGCCTCTTGCCCACTTCCGTTATGAATCAACACCAAGGATGCTCCTTCCTGGGTTTGAGGTGTTTTTCTCTGTCCATCCTTCAAAATCCTGCCTGTCCTCGCTACATCAGAGCCCCCAGGGCATTTTCTTGAAAACGTTTTTTGTGAAGTTCCACTGTACCCCTTTGTAAACTTGACTCTGTAGAGTAGCCCCTTGAGGTCAGGATCCTGCTACCCACATTTCTGTATCACTGGCCCATACTAGCTATTCAAAAATGTTTGTTGAAACAGAGTGACTGTCTCACGATCTTCTCTATTTTCCAGGCTAACCAGAAAAACCCTTGGAGGTCCTGTAATAGGAATGTGATCGGAAAATGTAAGCTGTGGATGGTCATTGCCTCCATTTTCCTAGGTCTCATTCTAGTGATCATCGTAAGCTTATGCCTTTTTGGAGGTAAGAGGATTTAAACATGACTAAGTTGATGCATTTTAAGAAAACTTGTTTAATGCTTATAACTTACACTGAAATGGAAGATGTACTCGTTGCTATTTCATTATTTATAATTGGAATTTAAAACTGGTTTGGAGTATGTTATGTGGAAGAAATATGTGATTCATTTTTATTGTTTGTTTTAATAAGCTCTGGAAGAAGTATGGAGACTGTTTTACTTTAAACTCTGCCCATTGGAGCTTGTAGATTTCTTAAATTTTTAGCTTTTTTAAACACTAATTTATATTTTATTTTATCTGTAACACTTTTTGAGATAAAAAATGTTGACTTTTTTCTTATAATTTGTTTAGTAAAAATAATTATTATATTTCACCTGATATACCTGGTATATGATTATAATGATAAAATGATGAATAATGTATTTGAAAGTTTTAAAAACTTTATAGGACCATGTACCTATAAGCCATCATTATTTGAACTTATTTTGGAAATAACTGTTTATTGTATTTATATAGCGTTTGTATGCAAAACAAAAACTTACATGATGCTAACTACATATTTTATATATATTATCTCATTTTAAAATTATTTATTATGAATATAAAAATACATGTTGTTACCCATAAAACATCCATATTAATAGTTTGTTATATACTTGTATATTTTTTTCACTTGAATTTTTAAAATAATTTGAGATCAGATTTTTTTGTAGTCTTGTGGCTTACCTTTAAAAATTTAATGTATACTGAGATCATTTTGCCAATTTATTAAAAATTATTTTTGAATGTCATTAATATTTTTTTCATGAGGTGTAATTGACATATAACATTATATTAGATTCAGGTATGTAACATAATGATTCAATATTTGTATGCATTGTGAAATGATCACCACAATAAGCCTAAAAACTTCCTTTTTTAAATGACTGCATGAGGTAGTCTTCTACACCATTTTAAAGACTTTTAGGTAGTTACCAATTTTTTATGATTATAGGTATTAAGGTTTTTATGATGCTTAAATATAGCACCCTCCAAGTGGATAATCATTTCAATTTCAAAACAGTATAGAAGAAAGCTTTTTATTTATACGTGGGAGTGATTGTAGCAGAAGAGGCCTCTTTTGGAGTGGGATGCTCTTGAGGGTGATCCAGCCCCTCAAGGATTTGGGTTGAGTCAAGCTCTCTAGCGAATCCAGTCACAGATGAGAGCAAGAAGGGGAGCCCCTGAGTCTCTTAAGAGGGGGCCCTGGGAATTTTCCTCAGGAACTGCATTTGCCACTCACCTCCCATTCCTCCCCCTCCCAACCTCTTCTGCTCCTGTCTCAAGGTTTCATGGTCCCTGAAGGAACAGGAAAACATTGATAACATGTGCCAGCCTCCAGCATGTGAGCTTCTTGGACAGACATCACATTTACTTAGCTACTTAGGACATTGTTGAGGTGGGATGGATGATTCTTTGAGGCCACAGGCTGGTTTTGAGGCGGGGAGAAGTTAAGAAGAGAATCTACACCTCCTCTGCCACGCTGAGGACAATAGTTTTGGTGTAAGCATTGATACTCCCTCTTTCCATCAACTCCCACATGTGGATGTGGAAACTGAAGTTGAGTCACACAGTCTTGTGCTATCACAACTATTTGGTGCTATCCTGAAAGCTGATGGATTTCTCTGTTGGCACCTGGGGCCTATAACAGGGTGATGCAACAGACCTAGGTGGTTTAATATTTAGGGTTCTAAAGCACACGATTCAAGAGCTGTATTCCATTCTGAAAAAGTTATCTGATCCTTTCAATTCTGAAAAAGTTATCTGACCCTGCAGAGGAAAGGATTCCATCGTCTTCAATAGTTTCTCTGGGAGACATGAAGATTCATAGGATGATATTCAGGGAAGAACTTTTCAACACTTACAACACATTTTCAATTTGGGCATAAAAGTTTGTCCTTAAAATGTTAATGCTGTAAGAGAGATTACAAATGTTTACCTTTTTTAATTAAGAAAATAGTTTTATTTTACATGGCACCTCAGCCCTCAGGGCTTTGGGCTTATGGAAGAGCCATGGTAGGTGGTGAGGGATGCAATGGAGACAAAGTAGGTAGGGACAGGGCTCCCCTCCATGACAGTCTCCACCTCACCCAGAGCAGCTCTGTAGGCACTTCTGCGATGACAGTTTGCAGTAATCAGCTATTGCCTAATTGCCAAGCCCATTGACAGGAATCAACTATTTCTAGAACTTCTGGACACTGTGTAGAAATCACTGCAGTCCGAGAAATGGGCAGTTTGGAGAGATCAAGTGCTTACCTACGGCCGTCCGGATGCACTAAGAAGCGAGGTTCCTCGGGAACTACATTTGCCATTTGCCTCTTCCTTCCCATCCTCTCAACTCATTAATCTCCTATCTCAGGGCTTTGTAGTCCTCAGACCAAGGCTTGGTGGCAGAGGTGTTAGTAACTCTAGATGGAGCTGGAGTGGAGTACCCACATCCCAGAATGCAGAGGTTAACCAGGGACAATGGGGTACCTAGGGCAAGGTGTCTGGTGGGGAGGTGTATCTTGTCACTGACGTNATTCTTGAGCCATATAATGCCATCATTGAATGTAAAATGCAGTTTGCAAAAGTCTCTGGAGCTCACCCTAAAGTGCTCTGGAGCTCACCCTAAAGAAGAATTTGCCTGTGACCTCTCCTTATGACCTAAAATTTGGGCAAGGGAGGATGAAGAAGCCAGTGAAGAAGGGTGTGTGTCTCTGTGATCCTATTTTGAGGAAAGACCCTGATGGCACAGCTGGTGCACACCTATTATATCAGAGACTCACCACCCTCATGACACAGTGGAATCTTCTGGGGGCACTTCTAAAAAATACTAATTCCTTCCTCAGTTCTAATGAGTACACAGCTGAGAAGCACTGTACCCTGTTGTTGGGTTGTGAGTGAATGATATAATGACTTAAGTTTTATGACTTAAATCCTGTGAAGATGAATCATGCAAGGGTTAGTGGTCTCTGTCTTATGGTTGAGGACAGGAAAGGGGTCAGGCTGCAGGATGGCAGCTTTGGGCTGGACAGGAAGAAGCATTTCCTACAGATGAGGGCTGTGCAATTCTGAGCTGAGTTCCCCCAGAAAGTCACAGAGTAGTGGTCTCCTCAAACCACTAGGGTCCTAGGTTTATCATCTCTAAGGGTCAGCATAAGTGAAGGCCCAAGAGGCTGAAGAGGTGTATGAGTGCTCATTCTGTGACTGCTTTGAGACTCGGGGCCATTCCATTTTGTACTAATCTTTAGGGTCCTGGTTGCCTCTTGTATAAGAACTAAAATGGCACGTGCCTCAGGAGCTCTGTAAATAGTAAGCTATGCTTCTGTGCCTTGTACTGGGACTTCTTTTCCCACATGTCTTAGGGAGCCCTGGCCTTTGGTGGCTTTGGAGCAGCTGTCTGTCTTCGGGTGGGGATGAGATGTGGCTTTGTCCCTGGACTTCAGAAACACTTACCTTCAAGAGGATTTTCCTCTGTCCAGACAGTCCCAGGGCATCTATTACTCTTACCCTTGACTGGAAGAGCCAGTGAAAGCACCCGGGTGCTGCAAAGTGTGACCTCTACAATAATTCCTCAAGGCACACCTTTAAAAATTTTGGAGCCCTCTGTAACTCAGCAACACACAGGTATGAAGTACCTGTTACCTACATGAGGCACAAGTGTAGGACATGGGAACACGGAAGTTTAAGAATCACCCTTCCCTCTCTGTGGTTTCACTTTACCTAAGAAGATAAGGCCAGTATCTGTTTATTTTTGAACATGAAACCAGGAAACCAGGAAACCAGAAAAGGCAGCGGCAGAAGGGCTGTGTGGACAGCTCAGGTACTGGGGGATCTCTCCATGGAGAATTGTGGGCAGGCCTCCATAAAATGAGAG